TAATTAATATAAAATAAAAACAAATGAGATAATTCAAAGTAATTAATTATAAAAATTAAAAACGATATATATAATATATAATATAAAATAAAAATCTTATTATCTCTATATATTTTTATATTATCATATCGAAACGTTTTTATTATTTCTTCATATTTTTACTCAATTAATTAAACTTTTTTAATTGACCAGAACTCTCGGGTAAACTTTCAAAAGGAAAATGGTCGTTGAGTTAGACAAGTGATGGCAAAGTAGGTAATAGGTGTATAGAAGAAAACTGAAAGAAACTGCGCAAAGCGGTGCCAGGAGCTGCGTTCAAGGAGAACCGCAATGAGAAATTACGTAATTTTATCTTACGCTCTTCTCGACAACGACAACGACAAAGACAACGACTACGAATACGACAAAGATGCAGGAAAGAATTAACATACATATATATATATATATACACGAGAAAAATATTATTTTTATTTCTTCTTTTATTTTTCCTTAACAAGTCAACTTATTTAACCAGTGATACCTTATATCCGATTAAAAACATACGATTAAACTACTTTACTAGTCTAAACCGCATACTCGTAAATGAGATTCTTGTTGTAAAAGATCTACGAGAAAGGTATAGGGAAAGTTAGTTGCTAATACATTAGCACACACTATGAGAATCAACCAACATAAATGCATACACCACGTATACGTAGATACACTGTGATAATTATGACGGTAAATTTAGTGTGAGAATAAAAAAGCAAATATTTCTTTTTTTTTTTTTCTTTTTTAGAGTTCTAATGTAATCAATCTTTTTTTTATCTTTACATTACGATTATTCATTTTTATCCTAGATAGAAATTGATTTATTAACGATTTGTATTTTATTAATTATCAAATCACGCATAGGTTTTATTTTTTTGGGGAGGTGGATATAATAGAAATTTTCCATTATTATCAATTTGTTCGTTAAAATAATCATCTAATTCTTGAATAAATATATACATTATAATATCATCGTAATGGTTACGAGATAAATAATACTTGGTATAGATCTAAGTATAGATGCATTTACTTTGAAAAATTATGAACAGTTTCTAAGAAATTGATTCAATAAATTCTACTAACATCGACGTTGATATCTTCGTAAAACAAAATGCACACACACACGCAAACAGACAGACAGGAACGTGATAAATATTTATTTTCACAAAAATTGTATGTAGTGGTTAAGTATATTTCCTATCAGACATTGTCACGACATATCTACTCGCGACTAATAATAGGGAAATTAAAATTGAATCGTTAATAACACGATAAACACAACACCTATGTCTCTAACGATAAAAATAAACGACGCGATGAGAAAAAAAAAAAAAAAAAGTAATAATAATAAGAAAATAATGAGAAATAGAAAATAAGGAAACGAAATAGAAAATATGGTCGTTCGAATTCGCGTGTTTCGCGGAAGTGAACGGTGTCGGTATGAACATTCAAGCGAGAAGCCATTTTCTCTTCTTCGGTTATAATAATCAATTTCTCCTTTTTGCCACGTTTATTATCCTATTGTGTGTGTGTGTGTGTGTCTCTCTCTTTAAAAACAAAAAAAGAATTGCGTATTATATTTTACGTTAGATTACTTTTATCGATAAAAATGAATATCTATCCGATATACTCTCATTTGTGAATAATAATTTAAATAAGTTTTCAGTTTTATTTTTCTTCTTCTTTTCTCTCTCTCTCTTCTAATATGACGAATATCTTTTTCTATAGAATATTATTCATTGGACTAAGGTCACGAGATGATTATCGAATGGAAAGGGGTAAGATAGAACAGGGGGGAAGGGGCAGGGGGGGGAATTAAAACGGGGAATAGAATTTCAATGAGTTGAACGAGTTTAAAAACTAAACGGATCGTTTCGTGACATCATCTCTTTTGCTCGTTAAATTCTGCAAAAAATGGCTCGACCGAGTTTCGTCTTCTTATATAGAAGTATATGTTTGTTTGTATATATATATATATACACATACACACTCACGCATATA